ATAGGTTGACTTTTAAAAGTAAGCATTATTAATTATCAAAGATTGAGAATGAAGTACAATGCAGTTCATCAGTAACTAAAAACAAGAATCGCCTATTTCCCAAATATTATTTAGTCACAATTTTCAATTATATTGAAGTAATTTATGAAGTTAATTATACTAAATTATCGGTTTACGTGACACCTAGCAGATTGAGCACGTGCAAGGCAATATTTCCTCTGAAGTTAACCGCCTCTTAAATTAATTAATTAAATCTTAATTGTACTAATTCTTTATTAATCCCTAGACGAGTCAAATACGCCGTATTTGGTCATTCATGCCGACCACGGATGAAATCTCTCTTAGTATACGGTTTCCAGGGTATTCAAACTACGAAGCCCTTGTTCGATGATCTTTTTTTTTTAAAAAAAAAAAACATTATTTTGAATAGTGAGTTTTTGGAGATTGTGTGGTTAAAAATGAAAAATTTTGAATTTGCATGTAAAATATTTTATTGTGTGAATGTGTAGTTAAAATGAGTATGTTAAAAAAAGAGTTTTAAAAGAATGGGAGACAAACAGAGGTTAAATACTTTTTCTGTGCAATCTTTTTGCATTTTTGAAATTTACTCGTAGAGACTATTACGTTAAGAGGCAAATTTGGTTTAATTAGATCAACGAACTTCAAAAGTCTATAAAAGTTACATAACTCGTTGACATGAGGGACCAACAAACAACTTCTATTGGTAACAACATGGGATTTGCATCAACTTATGATGGGAGAGTCTCTTGAATCCTTCATTTCTTCTGTAAATGACTTGTAAACTTTATTATGTTCAGGGACGGATTTAGGGAAGACTTGGTTGTGCTTCAACCCAGTCCCCCAAGTCTATTTAAATTTTTCGAGGTAATTTTTTTTATCATATCTATTCGACTTTAAAAAAGAAATTAGTTCGATTTTGGATCCTTCCTTGATTATGTCTAATCATATATTTGTTTAGAACTTGTTTGTCTAGAACTTCTTGCATTGTATTTCAACATAACCACGTATGAGAGTCAAACTTCGTCGACTTCTACTTCTAGTTGTTTCGGTTGTCCAAAAACCCAAATTTCTCAAAATTTCAAAGAAAAAACTTGTTCATCAATACTTCGAAAAATTTGTAACTGAAGATTTGGTTAATTTAAGATTTGCCAAGTTAAAAAATAATCATGAAAATGATGAAGCATTGACCAACAACCATCATTCACGTTCTTACACAACCAATCAGGAAATGCCACATTTTCCAAACGTAATTCCGTCTATGATTTATATATAGAATTGTGTGGACAGAGACTTCATTGCACATGCAAACCCTTCCTTGGTCCTAACGGCTCGCTAACGGGCCACGCTCCTCTATTACTTTTACTACCCAACCTACATCACTATACCAACCTCTATATATATAAGTTGTTATGTATCTATTCTATACATATATTCTCCCCTATACCTACAATATCTAAATCTTTAATCTCCATCTCTCTTACAAGATTTCCAACATGTTATATAGTAATATTTGTGAATATCCTATGATGGACTGCGCACCCAGGCCATTGATCGTGGATGGAACAAAATGGAGGTCAAAAAATGTGGAGATAGCTCCGAATTGTCCTAGATGTGCATCCTCGAACACGAAATTCTGCTACTACAACAACTACAGTTTGTCACAGCCTAGGTACTTTTGCAAAGGCTGCAGGAGGTATTGGACTAAGGGTGGATCACTGAGGAATGTGCCATTTGGAGGTGGTTGCCGGAAAAGCAGGCGGGCGAAGGCGGCAAGGCTGGTGGAGCGCGGTGGTGCAAATTATAATGTTGGTCGAGGTCATAGTCCGACTAGTGATCAGTCTAGTGGTGCGGTGGATATTGATTTGGCCGCAGTTTTTGCTAATTATTTGAACCAAAATGTGGGAAATAATGAGGAGAAAAGTGGTGGTGAGTCTTCTAGTCCTGGAGCTAGTTATGCATCATCATCTGAAATTCAAGCAAGTTCATTGGATATGGATAGCCAACTAGAAGATGCTTTATTTGAGTATCAAAAGCCTGTTGAGCCAGTAGATTTCATCGATACGGCTGAGTTTCAAGAAGTGCTCATTCCTGATCATCTGTCCAATATTCATGAAGAAAATGGTCCAGAATTCATGGATCATAATCCTAACAATTTCAGGCTGAAAACTATGCTTGGAGATGAATTAGGGCCCGAAATTTGGTCTGACGTCCCGAATTTGTTAAATTTTCCATGCCAATTACCTATGGTGCAGTTTCAAGATTTTGAAGCATTCTTAACTGATGATCAGTCAAGACTTTCTGCAAATCTTGAGAGCAATAATTGGGGCTCATTTGATATGTCTGGTTATGAATTTTTTTCCGTGCCTTGATTCAAGAACATGTTTTTCATTTTAATTTTTATTTTTCGGCCAAGGGGATTGCTACTATTCTTGGAAGTTGATTGTCATAATTATCCATATGAAAGAGGTTTGTCATAATACTTATTTCATTATAATTACATACTAATTTAAAGGAGTAAATAAAAAAATTTGTTCTGCAAAAATTAAACCTTTCCTTTTCTTTTACTTTTTTTGGCTTGTAAAATAATTATTGATGATGGTATGGTTGTTACTTTATGATGTGATTGAAATCATGTGAAATAATTATGGCACATGGACATGGGGAAACACAATGCAATACAGCTGAAATTAAGCACATTTTTGAGTTTTTTTAGCCTGGAGATAATTATCAAAGGTTGAATTAGCAAAACTGCTTAATTATGAATGTATTCAAAGTGTAACTTAGAAAAAAAGCAAGATTTGGGCAAAATAATCACCAAGATGTAATGCAGTTTTAGATCTTTTTAAATGCAGCAATACATAAAATCCTATTCTCAAATTCAAGTCGGCGAGGACGATTCTTGTAGGTCTGACAAATCAGCAAAAAATTTTGTTACGTTTGACACTATATCACAAAAGAATCTCCGATGTGTTTTTCATGAAAAATCGAAGTGGTTGTAAAAACAAATTATGAATTGTTAGGATGCAACTCAATCACATTTTTCACAGTAATGGAGAAAGTGATAAAAATTAATGGACATAAAATTCTTTTACAATCTAGGATATTGTTCCAATCGAGCTCTAAAGGAGCACATGTTTTGTTTAAAGATGTGATCTAAATGTGGCATACACATTAATAACATTGATTCTCAAGAGATAGAATGCTTGACAAAACAATTGAAATGGAAAGAATCATATTACTGTGGATCCCAAAGGTTGTTTCCTTAGGACCATTCGAGGGTACTTGAATTGATTTTTCAATTGATTTCCCCCAGTTTGCAACTGCTAAGACGGTGTAAATGCACATCAAATGACAGCTCCATCTGATAACGATATAATGATTTATTATTATTATTATTTTATTTTATGTTGTAGTCTTTATGTGGTTCTTTGCTTTCCAAAAAGAGAAGAAGGAAAAAGCACATGCGTTGTTTTTATGGGCTTAACAAGAATTATTAACAAACATGTTTGGTTCTGAAAGGAAGCAAAGTTGGGAATTATTTCATTAGAAATGCTTTCTTTTTATTGCCTTGAAAAAAAATACTGCAGATTACATTCCAATTTATATACATTAGAGGACACACGGAAATGTAACAAAATAAATGTGACTATTACATATCCAAGAACTCCTTAAATTACTCAATCAATTATTGGAATACTAGTAGACACTTGAGTAAAATAAAGTTCAGTGAATGATTCTTTGAATTCTTTAGTGATAATTAATTTGGTTTATTTTTCAACATTGTCTCCCGTAAATTAAATTTGCTTTTCATTCCAAATCTCGCAAGTTGTTTCTTCAAGTTCTGACCTCCAACTAGTTTTGTAAATATGTCTGTTACTTGATCTTCT